GGGGGTGACAGGTTAATTGGAGACTCTACCTTGTGTACTCCGCCTCAGCCTGGGATGGGTTCCAGCTGGTATCGATAATGGATGGATGTCTATAACAAGCACAAAGAGCATGATGCTGGTAAAGCCTGAGTGGCATACTGACTTTTGTCATAATTACAAGCCGTCCCATAATATTTGTCAGGGTCACAGCCCTGAGTGTATTTGCGTTACAGCTCACAATTAAAGAAACTGTTTGACAAATACCTCATACAGATGACAGGTCTCATTCCTCCCATTATTGAGAAATGAGCCTGTGTTTAATCTCTAAAGAAACTAAAAATGTGACATTTATCATGATAATCCTTGACACTGAGTTGTGTTTGGACATATTGTTCTGCTCGGGCCACACAATATCCCAGATTTGCTTCCTCTTCATGGTGGACTGGAACTCGTTTCCTTGTTTCTCTTATACTGGTAAAGCCAACATCAGATTCCAATCAGAATAGTGCAGCATATTTACACACTGTAGGTCTACTGTGTAACTTCTTTCTGTTGAAACAAAAATCCAGATTTCTGGCTGGGGGTGAGGTAGTTTCGAAGTAAAAGAAAAGTTTAGAGTTTCAAAGCTGAGATTCTTGTTCTAACAAAAAAAACCCCAACCCATTTTCAGTCACTCTGTGTGTTTGTGTGACAGACGTTGGGTGAGCACTGGAAACCTACCTGTTTATACATACGTCAAAGGTTGCATAGGTACATGTGACACTTTCACCTCCCCCACCCTGCTTCCCTCTCTAAGTGAGTGACTACAGGGAGAAGGACATCCGTGCGCTTCAAGGTTTTTTGCTCAAAGGATTTATTGCCAAAGCAAAGTTCACGAAATAAAGAAGACTTTGGATGATAGGAAGGAATCATGCGGAATGTAGAAAGTGGCTCAGGTGCTAATGGACTAAAAAGGTAAGAATGTTTCTCCCTCTCTTCAAAGTAAAATGTTTTGTCCAGATCACAGAAACCTGTGGAGAGAAGCGCGCTTGGATTTATTTGTTCTTGCTCTCACACTGTGGATCCGCTCACCTTTAAACACCTGTCGCTCCTCCGCCAGATACAGTGACAGCCGAACCCCTTCATTACAACCTCACAGCTTCCACTCACAATGAATTCACTCAGAATTCAAGAAACGGATCTCACCGCGCAGAGAATAAACGGTGTGCATTTTACGCACGAAAGCGCACCGCGACGATTTGTATCCTCGTTCAGGAAGACAACAAAAAACCACGTCTGTGATCTCAAGCAAGCGAATAAAACCATCAGATGATCGATGATTTTAAATGATCATTAGCTGCTGATTCAGCATTCACACCATTGTTTAACTGTTTCTTTATTATAGAGTTTTCTTCCTATATTCGACTATATTCAACGGATTTCAACCAATTTAACCATCAAAGCTCGTTCAGGACATTAATGCTCCTATTTTTTACTATTTCTCAAACATTTATGCTTTTTATTTCCAAAAATATTTATCTGTCTCTGCAGTTTTTCTCTCATTCAAATGTATATATTTTTTAAACAGCAGCAGCATCGTTGACATGTTATTATAGATATTGATATAAAAACCTTGAGGTAAAAGGTGTAATAATTATTTTGGGTCATTATGAAGCTGTCCTAAGATTTTCACTCCTGTTTCATTTCCTTCTTCTCTCAGAGGATCACATGGTACACGTCAATGCTTCACTCTGACAGTGTACTGTTACCAAAACACACGGAGAACCAGAGCTGTAGACTGCCAAACACACACACACACACCAAAGAGATTACATGGCCAATAATGCCAAAGAGTTAATAAAACAAGATAACCACAGTAAGTCTCTGTCTTAAAGAGGATAAACTAAATGTAACAGCTCTCTGGTTACAATTCTACACTTTTATCATCATGGAGTGAGTTAGAACTTATCAGCCGTTCTCTCTACAGGCCTCAGATGAACCAAGTTTTCATTTTCTGTTTGTGGCTGTTACCGTCCTCGCCACTTCTTGTCACGTCTGTTTATTTATCGTCTGTTTATTTCGTCTTTCCACACAGATAACATGCAAAACACGAAATCATAGCCTATTTTAGTTACTTTCATGATAAAGCCCAAAGCTTTGGCTTCACTTCTGTGGGGCCACCATGTTGTTCATCATCATTATATACAGTCTATGGTCGATATTAGTAAAAAAAACAAACATTTGAATGATTTTGATTTCAGTCATGTTGCCCAGAGTGTTATAGTCAACAGTCATATCTGTGTCTCTGTGTCTGTGTTCAGACAGGTTGTTGAGAGCCTGATTCCTCAGAAGAAGCCTTTGTTTCACCTCTGCTTCAAGTTCCTGCTTGGCCTAGGGCTCCTCATCATGTGCTACACTCTGTCCAGTGGCTCTCTGTCATGGAAGACGTTTCCATTTCAAGGGCATTACAACCGTCTCCTCAATTGGAACAATCTTTCAAAACTCAAAGTTAACCTTAGTGAAATCAAAGAAACCACCCAATCCCCCACTGCACTTCCTACTGTAGCCCCTACAGGTATTCAGTACCACCAAGCCTACCCACGCAACTACCACTTCATTATGGATAACCCAGAGGTGTGCAAAACCAAAACCCCTTTCCTGGTCTTGATGGTTCCAGTTGCACCAAGAAACGTAGAAGCCCGGGATGCCATCCGGCAGACATGGGGCAACCGCAGCCTGGTTCAGGGGCAAGTGGTGATCACTCTCTTCATGTTGGGACTCTCTGGAGACGCAGATGTGCAGCAGCAAGAGAAGATCCAACAGGAGAACCTTCAGCACCACGACCTGATCCAGAGTAACTTCATGGACACCTACCTCAATCTGACTATCAAAACCATGGTGATCATGGACTGGCTGGCTACCCGCTGCCCGACAGCAGCATACGCCATGAAAATCGACTCAGACATGTTCTTGAACATTGACAATCTGGTGATTATGCTGTGTACGCCAGGTATGCCCCAGGTGAACTACCTGACAGGGATGCTTATGTGGGACAGGCCAGTTGTCCGTTCAAAGGACTCCAAGTGGTACGTCTCTGAGGAGTTGTACCCAGACCCCTCGTACCCGACCTACACCTTGGGCATGGGATATGTCTTCTCAAATGATCTTCCAAAGAAATATGTGGAAATCTCAAAACTAATAAAACCCTTTAACATAGAGGATGCCTACATTGGCATGTGCATGAAAAAGCTAGGACTTGCACCCACATCACCACCAAATCCCTCCCAGTTCAAGGCCTATAACCAGAGATACGACCGCTGTGAATACTCACAGATCATCACCTACATCCTTGGTTCTGCTCAAGAGTTGATAAATTACTGGACAGACTTGAAAAGGCCTGAACCACCTTGTTAGGACACTGACTACTACAAATACACATTCACTTGAAGGGGTTGGATAGCAGAGTTCTGGGAATTGTAATTCTTTTACCTTAGGTCTGAAAGGTGAACACGCCAAATTTTAAGTGAATACAGAAGTTTCTAAACAACTGCAGTTAATAAGTATTTGCATTTATTTGCTTTGGTGAATTTAAAACTTCCCAAAAAAAATATTATGAAGGATATGTGTATTTATTTTTTTTATAATATGGGTGGAAGTGGAACTGTAATCAGGATTATTGGAACCCTGAGGACCTTTTTGATAAGATGGGTGCTGTATTGTTTATGTTAAGCGTATTGACTGGACAGGTGAACCCAGGTGCAGACACGGACAAGGAGACAGGAGTAGGGAAAGGTATTTTATTGCCAGGCTGCAGCTGGTGAGGCTCTGCTCTGACGCCGGTGCACCTGCAGGTAATCAAACACAGGAGAACCACTAGCAGTTCCCAGAACTAGAGGTAGAGGGCATGGTAGGAGCAGTTGGAGGGGCAGATGGAACCGTTTATGCTGTAGTTGTATGCACAACAAGGTGCATGAACATAAATTATTTGTATAGATATAATGCAACATGAAATAAGTGTTGCAATGGGTCAAAACCACTCAAATGAAAGTTTCAGATTCAGAAAGGCTCTCAGTAGAGTGCATACCTCCGCCAACGCCCAGTCTCCTTATGAAACCTAATTTTAATTCCCTGGATCTTGATTGTTATGTGGGTTTTCACCAAAACACACACAATGTTAAATATCTTATCAAATAAAAGTGATAGATTTTTTTCATCAAGATCGATAAATTAATCTTTGGGCAAATGGTACAAAAGTAAAAAGCAAACACTCCTTGGCGGAGGTAATTTAAAAAAGACTGGAAATATCGAGAGGTGTTAAAAGCTTTAAACTTGTTTACAAAATATTGAATGTTACAATTAATACTTCTCAGGATACTTTTTGAATAAAAGAAGCCATTAGTAACTGACAGACTGATTATTATAATGACAATGATTTCCATTTTTGTTTAGCTCACTAATGTTAATAATACGTTTTTAAATGATGATAAAACAATAAAAAACTTTAAAGACTCCTTTAAAAAATGTTGTAAAAGAATGTGACCAACACATTAACTTAATATTTGCATGTCTGTGTGTGCTCCTGCTCTTCGAGGTGGACCTGACCTGGGAATTAAAGTGTTCAAGGGACACTGGCTTCCAGCACAGGGACGTCTGGCTCAAGCTCTGATCTTTATAGTGTTTTTAAATTGGTGTCAATAAAGCTCATGGTTATTAAAACAGATTGAGTTCCACTTTTACTACAGTGTCTTTGAATGCAGCACAGTGATTTATCTGTTCGATTACCAACGGAGGAACTCGAAGGTCTCAAATGGATGGATTCAGATTTTTCCATCCGTCTGAAAGAGACTTTTTCAGACCGTGATCACTGTCATCTGCAAATACTCGAGAACCAGGTGTCAACAAAGTCACGTGACTGTCCTTTCAAACTCCGGTTGGTTGCGCTCAGGTGTATCCAGGTGAAGACTCGTCCTCATCAAAGTCCACGTGAAGAGTTCCACCGACGACCATCCCGCCATCGTTGTGCAGGTAGCCTATACCTCGCGTCCCTGGGGATCGAACGTGGTATTGTCCTTCTCTGTGTTTCACCTGGTGCGTAAAGAACGGAGGGGTGGACTCACCAGAGCAGTCGGTTGCGTGTAGCGCCATCGCAGACGGGTAAGAGCTGTTTGTCTAAGGGGAAGATGTTCGGAGTGAATTCAACGTGATCACCAGGTATTCTCCACCTGTGCTGATTAAGTGAGCGTACATTGACTCACCTCTGTTTGCTGTGAGTTGGAGTTAAAACCACATCCTTTGTTTCCCTACCTCAGTGCACTGGGGTGTGGTTGCTCACTTCCCCTTTCTTGATTCTTGAGGGATTTAAGATGGTTGTTATTTGGGTTGTAATTAGAGAGATCCTGCCTTGCCAATGTTTTTTATTTGTATGACATAAATTATTTTAAAGGGGTAGTTCACCCAAAAAACTACAATTCACTCATTATCTACTCACAGGGGTAAACTGATTCAAAGTCAAATCCAAATGCAATTGAAGTAACTGGTGACCACAGCCTCCATACTGCTCCTGTGGTGTCATCCAAGTGTCTGTAAGCCCTGACATTAACATTCGACTCAGAACTGTCTATCATTCAGTCTAAAAACATGTAAAAAATAAAAAAATAAAAAAAGTGTCTCTCGGACCGTGGTTATTGTCGACAGTATCCAAATTCTACATAATTCAGTTTTGATGATGTCCCACTTTTCTTGGGCCCATATGACAGTGGTCAGGACCATTGTCCAGGTTCAGGATTTGGCAGAGGAGATTTTGATCTTGCTGCCTTCTGGTTTACTTCCATAGATCTACACAATGCTAACTTTCACTTCCCCATCTGCCCACACCACAAGCTGTTCCTGTGGTTTTAGGTTAGGTAGATGATGGAACAATTTAAGGTCTGGACTGTGGTGTCTCTTTCGGTCTCATAGATCCATGGTTACAGTCATAACTTAGGTTATTGGTTGCTGCAATACGTGGTACTTATGTGCTCAACTATTTGCTCTGTACAAGTTACTAGTTAGAGCTCTGACAAATTGAATAGACATTCTCTGAAAGATCTGTAAAAACTCCTCCCTCTAAAGCCTGATATTAGTAATAATCTATATGTCTGCCTGGGATCATGCTGCGTGCGTGTATATTGTCCGTAATGCAGCGTGTAGAAGTCACTAGTGAATGTGTGTAATCAACCCCCGACACCTCCACTCATTGTTAATCATGTTTATATATTCATCAGTACGTGTTGTATTTCAGCTCAGCTGTTTGTCACATTCGTGGACGGGATATCTCGTTGCATTCAAGGTCCTCTGAAGTGTCTGGTTTGGGGGATGCTCAGACAGCAGATAATGTGACCTTGCATGTTCATTAGATCATGACGTCTGGATTACACTTTACCTCTTAGAGGCAGCGGTGTGAAGTGGTTAAAGCTGAGTCATGGTGTGAGCTGTTGTTTGCTGGGACTTTGTTTCAGGAGGATCTCCCTAGTTACATCAGTCCATAGACGAATGGATGGACTGAAAGAATTCACACTACAATAAATGTATTCATGATCAGTCAAACTGAAGGTACCTACAGACAGAACTGCTGTAAACTGAGCACAGAACAACATTTAGTGAAAAAAGCAAATTACAGAAATGAGTCCTATCCCAAAATTCCTCATAGATCTGCGTAAGAGGTCGACAGCCAAACGCTTCTTGTACATGTGAGCTTTAAAATTAACTTTAAATAATTTTTTAATAAATTAGTGATCATTTGACACTTCACAATATTAAGAAAAAGTTCATACAAATTCCTTGTATAATGTGTAATAAATAAAACATTTAATTTAAGTAGAGCCTGAATGATTTGACATCAGAATCTGTGTTTGTTTGCTGATATGAAAACTTTTATTTTGCAGAATAAACAACTCAGCTTTACATTGATCGTTTATTTTTTTCAATTCTAGTTTATTAGATTTGGTTGTATTTTAGATTTAGTTTCATTTATAGACATTTGATGGTTAAGCTGTAAAATATCAAGCCTCAATTAATATAAAATTTACAATAACACGACTTAATTTGAGGTGTACAATAAAAGAATAAATAATGAGATTAAATGTATTGATTCATCTGCTGTAACCACTACTTTTATTACTGATTTGCAATTATTTTCTCAATAATTATATAAGAAAATATGATATTGAGCATAAAACAATTAACAGATCATTTTCGGACAGACTTTTATTTGCCTTTCATCCATCAGTGAAAGGACAATACAGTCTTGTTGACACCGCTGATCGACCTGAAAGTCCGGTTTCCTGTGAATGGAACGGCAAAGTGAAGGCGGTTATATTCACTGTCATTATGAAGTTTAACTCTGCGGCTCCAACTCGAGACAGAAGCTTGATTTGTCTCCTCGGAGTTTAACTGAGAAACACAGAAAACCACGCAGCGCAAAGGTGCGTTAAAAATGATTAGAAAGATAACTGTGGTGCGTTTAAGACCATTGGTGACCAACGGAAATTGTAGTTGTTCCAACTAACGATGCGTAAAAAGTGATAACATTTATATTTGTAGGTTAATTTGATTGACCGCTGTGTTCTGATTCTTTGTCGACAATAACATGAACCTATAATTGAGGTATAGTTGATTTGGACAAAGTGAAGTTATGTTAGAGACTGAGTATATACAATATATGCTCTGTATGAAAACACCATTTATAACAACATTATTTATAGAGCACGCTTCAACACCAAGTTCTGCATAAGTACTTCGACTCAACTACCTAAAGCCATATTCATAAAAATTAGTGATTCGAAGCTCTGCTCCTATTGATGTAGAGTCACAATTATTCACATGGTATAATAACTTCAGGCAAGTAGGGAGGACGACCTTGAAAGTTCCTAGAGTTTCTTTAGCAGGTGAGAAAAATGGTGTTAAAATATGCTGCTGGTGCTTGTTAGAAAATGTGTTTTGAAATGATGAAGCTCTGAGAGGATTCCAGTCTGTGACCGTGTTAATGTTCCTGAGCACAAATCTTGAAACTGTATCTTCCAGTTCTTTGTATCTGAAGATTTTTACGTTAACAATTTGAAACAGTAGCTTTCAAAACTATTCTTTCAACCAATTGCACCTTTTAAAATGTGATTGGCACTGTGCAGATAAAATGTCATATTTATGAAAGACGGAATATAAAATCACAGCGTGTCTTGAAACTTAAATGGTGAAAGAAAAATAATATCTCAACAATATGTGATGCTATTAATACTTTGTTTGTTAATGTACAGTTTGAGTTTATGGACTAAATAACTGGTTATATCCAAATGAACATAGAAAAGTATAGACTGAACTTTGCACAGTGTTTATGACTGGCACTCCTTCCCCGTGTGCTGGTGCTCGCAGGAACAGACAAAAGAGCAACAAGGTGTGGCAGTTACTGAAGAACTGGTTTTACTCTTGTGCTTATACTTATTGGGTTGTTATTTAAACTGACGCCTGTTTGGAATGGGCAGTTTGTTTGCCAAGGCTGGTTTCAGTTTTTATTTCTGAAACTGTAAAAGTGACCTGCAGTTGTTGAGCTGCTGCTCCAGAGCTGTGGTCACCTGTTTATTCTATTCAAATTGACGGTATCGTGTCCAACTAACTGCACCGTGAGCTGCTTTTTAATCTGAATTGTAATGTCTGAGAAAGTGCTGCTGCAATAACACAGGTCTTTTCTCTTTGTAGTTTCAATGGAGAACAGGAGGATTACCCTAAAAAAAGGTTTTGTCTGCATCCTGGGAGCCGCGACTGTCGTCTTTATCAGTCTCAACTTTGACAGGAGATGGTTGGTCAGGAATTCATTCATCAAGATCAACAGTACTTCTCTTAGAAGTCGAGGAACTCCTGTGACTCCAAGAAACACAACAACAACAACAACAACAACATCGTCAACAAAAGCAGAACCACAATGGGAGGATCCCGGGCCGTATCATGTGGCCTATCCACGAAACTACAAATTCATCATGGACGACACACCAACGTGTAAGACCAGGTCTGCTTTCCTGCTCATGATGGTTCCGGTCGCGCCAAGTGACGTGTCGGCTCGGAACGCCATCCGAAAGACATGGGGAAATGAGACAGTGGTTCAGGGTAAGGTGGTGGAGACGCTCTTCTTAGTGGGCCTGCCTGGAGGAGCTGATGCTGGGCCGCAGCAAGAGAAACTCAATCAGGAGA